ATTAAAAATTTTTGATTTCAAATATATTGCCAAACGGAAAAATAAAATATCCCCAAACAAATTGACACATAACCTCAAACTAACTTTCACAACTCCATGACGCTTCAATTATCTAAAATGTTTTAATCTTTCATAATCACAACTTAAAGGAATCATTTACATGATCTAACGGTAGGAACAAGTGAGGAATTGCCAAATGAATGAATCTAATGTATATTTTGTAAGGAATTGACGTAAGTTTTATTATTGTATTAATTTAAAAATTAATTTAATTTAGCACGTTAATCCGAGATTTATTTAAGAAAATTTGTATTTATGTAGGATAACTCCTGAAGATGCTGTATAAACACAGTGAAACCGGTTGAGTGAAAATTAAAAATAAAAATCCATTAAAGTGCAAAAACCGAAGTTTAATTTACTTCTTTATTATATTTTGAAATAAATACACTCATAACTTCAATGTTAATTTGTATGTTTAGTGTTGATGATAACAAACGAAAATAAATACAATAATAAGTAAATAAATAAATAATAACAATTATTAATTTAAATTTACCGCCAAAATACCTAGTGATATTTTCTGGTGATTTTTCCTAGTGTAAATCTGACTTTCGCGTTTACTCCTCCTGGTTTTTAAACCAGGAGGAGTAAAGTAGAGCATGAAGCACAGAGCACAGAGTATAGTAGAGCATGAATGTTTTACACTCGATGTTATTTTTGTCAAAATAAATAAATAAGTAGATGTTTATTACAAAATAAAGTTTAATTGTTTCTTTTGTGTCTAGCGCTACTTGATATTTGGACAAAAATAACATCGAGTGTAAAACATTCATGCGCTACTAGATTAAAATGTGTGCTTTTTGATGGGGAAAGAAATGAATTTTTAAGAAAAATAAAATACTATCGTATAAAGAATGTTTTTAGTACCTCAATAATAAAAAAAAAATTTTGGCATTCCATTTAAAAAAAAAAGTTGACAGTCGCCATTTTGAAATAATTCTTCCAATTGAAAATGTGGCATCACCATTGTGTAGAGAATGACCCAAAACATATTACTGCCAAATATTTTGAAAGTAGTACCCATAGTGTGGCTAAAAAAAAATAAGGCGCTTACTCTGACTCAGGCTGTAGAGGTAAGTTACTTTCAATCATCTTAATTTATTGTCTTCTACATGTCCCTGCTCTGTGTCGGTTCTTATGTGAATCACCCTGTAGAGGGGTGAGTCAGAAAGAATAAAATAATATTTTAATAATAATCTCAACCCGAAAATCGCTTGCTACTACCATGCTGGCTAAATATACAAAAATAATTAGTAATGGGTTTCGATCTCCAAAAGTTAGAAGCTAAAATAGCTCATCGTAGTCAACCTTGGATGAGAGAACATTTTAAATGTCTAATCACAACATGTTTACTGGAAACGTGTTGCTGCCTGCAAAATGGCAAGCTGTGATAATATAATCATTTATAAACGGGTTAATGTTGGTTTAAATCGTACTGACTCACCATATATCATTAATTAATTATTTGTACTCCTTTAATAGAAAACATAAATTTATTTCTTTACCTTTAGAAAAATGTATTGGATAGAAAACGATCAAAATGATAAATACGTTTTAATGGAAAGCGATGGACAAACGATAAATCACTTTTTTAACAAACAACAAAATCAGTGTAACTGCCCTTTGAGGTTACCATTGGATAAAACGTTCACAATCGATCATTCCGAAGATAAAACGAATCCGAAATTTATTTTCGTCGAATCGTCAAACGTGATCATCGCGGCGGATAAATTCGGTTGTAATTGTGAATCTATTACAACATTAAATGTAAGCGATACATCCTCGTTAAAGTCCGAATTTAATAATTTATACTTGTTGGACCGGTTTAACAAGGATCTATACATTTTTAATAAACGTTCGAAAAAAACGATGTTGGAACACCAATCGAAAGCGAAGGAAATGTTAATTTTTGGAGATCACGTCCAACCGTATCCTTCAAAAAAATGTTTACAACCGAATTTTGAAATCGGGCTTTCGCCCAATTTGGCGAATCGAACTTGGAATAGTTTAACGTTAACAATACCGGAAATCAAAGCTAAAGATGAAGAATGTAAAGGAATTTCTATGGCTACTATTGAGTATAAATTGTTTTATAAAGAGAGTGGAAATCAAAATTACACCGTTTTATCGACTTTTGATAAAGTTGTTACTATAAATAACTTGAAACCTTACACAAAATATTCGGTATCTTTGGGAGCGAGGAATTATTATAGCGATAAAGAGAAGGATTTTAAAGGAATTTGGAATGTTTTTCAAACAGCTGTTGGTGGTAAGTGAATTATAATCAATTAAAAAATTAAATTGTTGTTTTAAAATTCTATTGAGTAAATAATAATTACTTATAATTATATAATAAAGGTCACAATAAATCAATTTTGAAAACAATCTAATCGATCATTAACATTTTTTTTACATAAAAAAAACGGAATTCTCGAAGGTAACAGTTTTATTGAGTTCATGTAAAATTTATGAGTTTTAACATGTTTAAAAATTTCTTTGTTGCTGGAAATATTCAGGTGGTTGAAATCCATAACCGATTAAATCCGCTCTTGCTCCAGTAAAAGGTCTAGGAATTGGAACTGAAGGGAATCTAATCGCCCTTCGATTATCCCTCGGGTCCCCAATATACATATTACCCATCGTATATCCAATCGGAAAATCGTTTTGATATTGACACTGAGCTTCTTGAACTTGGTTTGAAAACATCAAACCAAGAAAAATCAAAATAAAAATCATCATCACTAACAAATTGTTTTGAATATTTTTAGATTCTTTCTAAGTACTTATTTATAACACAAAGACTTAATTAATACTGATGAATAAAATGTGAAGTTTCTTTTAGTTTTACAAATTCTTTCACAACTTTTGCACCGTTTCGCCCGATTTCTGTTGGCAAACTGGCGGAAACGCGGCGAGTACAACTCGGAATCCCGCTTATTATTATACATTTCTTCATTTTTACGGTCGATCAAGGCGATTGGTGCAAGAAAGTCGTTTGCATTGATTGATATTGCCAATGAAACGGGCGAATTAACCGTGAACGAGTTACCTGATTTTGCTCTAAAACTCCATCAAGTTCTTTTATAACATTATTAGAATTATTCTTTAATAACCGCCACAAACATAATCATTTAAACGTTTTATGGGTTTTAATTAACGTATTTAAAGACTTGATCACCTTGGTAAAATCTTTGTTTTTGTAAAATTCTTAATTTTTTTCTCTTTTAGCCCCATCCGAACCAAGAAATGTTACAGTGACCGTTTTAAATCCAACCTTATTAAAAGTATCTTGGCTCCCACCCGAAGAGTTTAACGGCGATACAATTTACTACGAAATTCATTGGTTAACCGAAACGACCACATCAGGAATACGCAAAAAAGGAGAACAAATCGTGATGGAAAACGACGTTAGCGTTGGCCAAGAACCATTTACAACCAACCTTCAAAAAATGTCTCAAAACGAAACCTATATGATATGGGTACGCGCTTACAGCCAAAATAACGACTCATCAAACGAAAGTCAAACGATAAAAATCACAACTTTCCCCGAACCCGAAAATCTTACTTTATCAAATTGTTCAGCATACGACCTGCAATTAAATTGGAAAATTTCCGAATACATCGAAAACTACGTGATTCAATACACTTTATTAATTTCAAACGATTGGCAACAAGTTCTTGATGAATGGATTGAAAACGACTTTCTTAACAACGAAACCGTCGTTAGCATCGATATTAATAATTTAAAACCGAAAACGCAATACAAATTTCGATTCTTATTGAGATATCCGGAAGATGATGGAAAAGATTACATTTGGCCGGATGATGGACGATTCGTTTTCGAGACGAAAGGCGATCGTCCCACCCCGCCGGGAAAACCCGAATATCGAAGTATAAACGGTGGAAATGAATCGAAAATTTGGTGGCAACCATCGAAAGATAACGGAGGTCCAATTGAACTGTACAAATTGGAAGGATTGAAAATGAAAAATTATAGGGAGAAGAGATCAACGAATCGATCAGCTTGGTCTTATAGCGCACCCTCAATTGAAGAAACCGAGTTTGAATGGAAAGAATTTTATAATGGAAGTGGTGAGTAAGAACTAGTAAATTTAAATTTAATAATATTTAATATAAGAAAATGCTATTTAAGTAAGGAAACATAATCGGGACGTGTTAAGGTGTATTACAAAGCAAAATTGTAGTAAATGTCAAATTGTTGTAAAGTTGGCAAAATTAACAGGGAGTTTTGTTTTATCATGTTTTGAAATAGATATGTCACACTGACGTTTGAGCTTTCGTTATTCAAAAAGAAAAGGTGCATAAAAAACGCTTTTACAATAAATATGTACTTCGTTAAAATCGTATTTATCTAAAAATTTATTAGTATTTTAACCTCAACTATTTAGTTATTGAAAATGTTACTAAAAATCAGGAAAACAACATAAATTTTATAAGGGTCCTAGATAATACCAACAGAAAC